GATAGCAAGTAATGTCCTGTTTTCGTATTTGTTTAATTTTTTTTTACTTAACTGATGGGGAAATTGCATTTTCCTATAAGTTGGCTCATAATATCTAATAATGTATTCTAAACCTGGTCAAGGGACCATACAAGGAGAAAGTCTGGTTACCTTAGCTGACTCATACCAAAGGAATGTTATTGCAAAATGACCAAGTCCTTAAAAGGTCATATTGTTGCTTACCAGGGGAGTTGGCCAAGGGTTGTCCATTCCTTACACACAAGTCTATACAGTTATGACTTGGAACATTCAGCCACCACCACAGCTTGCAATGATGCATGCATCTGTGATCACCTGTGTGCCGCACTGTGAAATCGGGCGGGACTCATTGGTGAAACAACATCTTTAGTTAAGTATTCTTGTTATATTTTTCTAGTACTGTACCTGTATCTGTCTGCTTAATTAAACATTATAGTTATGAGTATTTGTGTGACCTCTCTTTGGCACATATAAAGTACAAACCCAATAAACTGCCATTGTGCTACATGCTGGGTGTCCAGTGTGCTCCTGTACCTTTCAGGAGGGGTGGGCTCCCTCAGGTTCCCCTGCCCTTGGTCTATCCATTAAATACATGTGCCTCTACTATGGGGGCTCTCAAAATGTGTAGAGTTAGGACCACAGATTATTGGGGTGTCTTGACGTGGCTCTGTGGCTTACGTATGTATTTGCAAATGTGTGCTAACTAAACCCTGTTTTTAACGCATTGTGTTAGACAGGTTAATTTGCTTGTTGGCAAACTGGCTGGCAAGTTGAGCTGGGAACTTTCTTTTCTTCTTTAGACATGCATCTGTGATCACTTGGGTGCCACGCTGTGAAATCGGGCGGGACTCATTGATGAAACAACATCTTTAGTTAAGTATTCTTGTTATATTTTTCTAGTACTGTACATGTATCTGTCTGCTTAATTAAACATTATACTTATAAGTATTTGTGTGACCTCTCTTTGCACATATACAGTACAAACCCAAAAAACATAAACTATCACATGACCATGATAAAACATTAACTAAGGCTTTCAGAAAACCCACTGCAGGCTGATCAGGCATCTTCTAGCACGTTTACTAAGATCTGCAGCATCTTGACATATTATTCCAATTTATACATCTGGCTGATGTAGCCATCTGCTGGGAAAATATAATTACCATTTACCCCATTGGAAGGGAAACTACATCGTATTTTCTACTAATCAAAACAGCAGCCTCTGTTGGCTTGGCCACCTAAATTCAGCATGGGTTTCTAATCTATATAAGATTATTTTAGGACTTGTGAAATGTGTTTGCTTTTAGACTGCACTTGCCATGTGTTCACATGATAAAAACCAAAAGCACAAACTGACCCTAACGTTGAACTCCCAGCAGTTACAAAGAAACATCGATAAATGCAGTTACGTATTTATCAAAATCTACAGCAGAGGTTCTCAAACTTTTTATTCTGAGGACCCAAATTAGAAAATTGTTACCATACTGGGACCCAAGAAGAAAATTATTACCAAAATGTCAACAAAGCCAAAGACAAATCGCAATGTCTACATAACACATTGGGTATGCTCTTGTCTATTTTTATCACCTTTAACCATTTGACCTCCTGAGGATTTACCCCCCTTAATGACCAGGCCTCTTTTTGCTACTCGGTGCTGCACTAATTCAACTGATAATTGCGCGGTCATGCAATGCTGCACCCAAATGAAATTTACGTCCTTTTTTTCACACAAATAGAGCTTTCTTTCGGTGGTATTTGATCACCTGTGCGTTTTTTATTTTTCACGCTTATAAACAAAAAAAGGCCAAAAATTTTGAAGAAAAACAATATTTTTTTACTTTCAGCTATAAAAAATATATAGTAAACTCAAAGTTGGTTATAAATTTAGGCCAAAATGTATTCTGCTCCATGTTTTTGTTAAAAAAAATCCCAATAAGTGTATACTGATTGCATTGTGTGAAAGTTATAACGTCTACAAACTATGGTATAGATACTGCAATTTATGCCATTTTTTTTGCTATACAGCGCTGCGCTAGTTTAACGGACAATTGCGCGGTCATGCAATACGGTCATAAATGAAACTTACATCCTTTTTTTTCCCACAAATTGAGCTTTCTTCCGGTGGTATTTGATCGCCTGCGAGTATTTTATTTTTTGTGCTATAAAAAAAAAAAGTCTGACAATTTTGAGGAAAAAAAACAATATTTTGGACTTTTTGCTACAAAACATGTCCAGTGAAAAAAAAATTTTAAAATCAAATTTAGTCATAAATTTCTGCCAAAATGCATTCTGCGACATGTCTTTGCTTAAAAAAAAAAACCCAATACGTGTAAATTAATTGGTTTACTTGAATGTTATAGGGTTTTTTTTATACTAATAATGGCGGTGATCGGCGACTTATGGCGGCGATCAGTGACTTATGGCGGCGATCAGCAACTTATGGCGGGATTGCGGGACTGCAGCAGACATTCTGACATTGGGGGGTACTGACTTGGGGTCACTGACATCCCCAGTGACACCAATACAGTGATCAGTGCAAAAAAAAAAAAAAAAACACTGACACTGTACTAATGGCACTGGGGAGGAAGGGGTTAAGTTTATTATTCACTGAAAGGGTTAACTGTGTGACGGGAGTGTTTTACTAGGGGCGGGGGTGTGTACTGCAGGGAACACTGCTGATCGGGAGAGAGAGAAACTCTTCTGTCCTGACCAGCGTGTCCTGGAGCTGTCAGGGAACTGACAGAAAGCACAGCTACTGCAGCTGTGCTCTCTGTCAGCGATTGCCGCCGATCGCCGGGACATAGCCGGTAACGACCGGCTGTGACCCGGCGACTGACATCAGCAGCTGTGATCAGGGGACAGGTAGGGCGGCGGCGCGCCTCGCATGCGCGCCCCCTACCTGTTTACAAAACACACGTTTTAAAACGTGCTTTTGCCCAGCCGTGCCGCCCTGCCGCCGTATTTATACAGTGGCTGGACGGCATGTGGTCAATGAACCTGGAGAAATACATTCTTCGTTAAGTTTTCTTTAACAACTAGATCCTTTAGGACTTTTCACCTCACCTTGTCTGTGTCATTCCCTCCTTCCCCCTGCTTTGTACATGCTCTAGTCCCCCAATGTGTGTCCATTCTCAGCGAATAGGTGCAGGAACCCAACCATGTCCCCCACATGCACACCCGCCAAATGGCATCAAATAGTAGTTGTGATCAAATTTCACTAACAGGGAGAGGGTGTTATGGGGCCTTAAATACCAGGAGTGCATTATGTACAGAGTGCAGAATTCAGGGGTGCAATACACACAGATTGCAGAGTTCAGGAGTGCGCTACATACAGATTGCAGACTTCAGGGATACACTACCCAAAAGAGTGCAGAGTCCAGGCCTCTTCCACAGCTGCTTACCTTGACATCCCCCATCAACATCTGTCATTTGTCCCTTTTCAGCTCTGACCTCTGCACAGAACCCCCCCCCCCCCCCCCCCCCCCACCGCCTCCACTGCCTTCATCTTCTCCCCCACTAAAAGCTGCACCATCTTCCACATACCTTACTTTGGTGCCATGTTAACCACTTCCCATCCGGCCACTGTATATAAACGGCCGGACGGTGGCAGTCCAGGGGCGGGTTGCCGTTCATAAACGGTGCCCGCCATTTTGGACTGTACGCGCTCCCTGGGAGCGTGTGGCACCGCGATCCGGTGCCCACTGTACAGGACCTCTGTGTGTACACCGTATGTACACCAATTGCTGTACAGGACCTCTGTGTGAGGTCCCGATCATGTGATCACTGATTGGCCAATCAGTGATCACATGAATAGGTGTAAGCAAGATGTCACTTCTGACATCATTGCTTACTACTTGTGAAATCTGTGAATGATCACAGAGATCACATGGTACAAGGCTATTCACAACAGCCTTGTGACCATGTGACAAGCTGTGACCAATCACAGCTCACACAGTATTTCTCAATGGCTGCAAGAATGCAGTCAGAGAGAAGGAGAAATGATTGCTTTTACAGCCTTTATGGGTGTAAAAGCAATCAGTGTAAAAAAAGAAAACAAAATCTTCATCACCCCCCACAAGTAGTACAGTGTCATTATGGTGACACTGTACTGCTAGGGTGACAGTATGTTTAAAAAAAAAAACATAAATAATAATAATATAAAAAAATTAAATAAAAATGAAATTTTTTAAAAATTATAATTTTTGGTCATAAACTAATTTGGGTTATTTTTTTTACTAAAAAGATAACTGAATCAATTTTGGCCAAGATTTATGAAGAAAGATTATTTATTTGCAAAATTTTAAAAGAAAAATACTTTTTTTTTTTTTTTTGGACTTTTTCATTTATATAGCAAAAGAAATAAAAATCCCAGCGGTGAATAAATACCACCACAATAAAGTTTTATCTGTCTCACAAAAATGCTAAAAAATTCATATGATTACAGTGTTGCATGACTGCGCAATTGCCATTCATAGTGTGACAGCGCTGAAAGCTGAAAATTGGCCTGGACAGGAAGGGGGTAAAAGTGTCCAGACATGAAGTGGTTAACCACTTTACAACCATGCTATAGCCTAAGGATGGGTACAGCGCAGTTGTCCAGTTCTGGGAGGGCGTCATATGACGTGCACCTGGCACTGTCTGTGATCGCTGTGTCCTACGGACACATCTGATCACATGACAAGGTAAAAGGCCAATCACAGCAGCCTTTTACCACATGATCAGCTGTGTCCAATGACACAGCTGATCACAAAGTAAATACAATTGCCAGTTATCAGCAGCACTTTCCTCACTCTGTCACAGCATGAGGAAAGTACTGCTGATAACTGGCAAGTGTCACAGAGGACATCTGCACTGAAAATCAGGGAACTGATTATCAGAGCCCTAATTATCAGTGCAGCCCCAAAAGTGCCCAGCAGTGCCACCCATCAGTCCCACCAATCAATGCCCAGTAGTGCCACCCATCAGTGTCGCCCATCAGTGCCACTAGCCAGTGCAGTCAGTCAGTGCCGTTAGTACTATCAGACAGTGACACCAGTCAGTGCCCATCAGTGCCGTGCCCATCAGTGCGCCTAGCGCGCCCATCAATGCTGCATATCAGTGCAGCAGCATTGGTGACTCCTCATCAATTACAACCAGTGCCATCTCATCAGTGCAGCCTATCAGTGCCCATCAGTGTTTGCCTATCAATGCAGCCTCATAAATGCACATCAGTGAAGGAGAAAATGTACCTGTTTGCTAAATTTTAAAATAGAAACAAAGAAAAAACTTTTATAATAGTTTTATTTAATGCAGCAACATCCACACATGTAGGACACCCAACGTTAGAGGTGATTTATTCTTCCAAAGCAAATACCCATTTGCATGATGGTACTGAGTAGTATTCCAGTGTTTCTCTTCTCCCTCAGTTTTTCTTCATCACTGAACTAATGTGTCCCCAGCAGCAGGGGCGGACTGACCATTTGGGAACTCGGGCACTGCCCGAAAGGCCTGGAGTCAGTAGGGGGCCCCATGAGATGCCCCTGGTACCTTTCATAGGCTTTTTTGGGTGTGGTTTGAGTGTGGGCGAGGACACAAGGGCCCCATGATCCCCTATTGCCCAGGGGCCCCATGAGTTGTCAGTCTGCCCCTGCCCAGCACTGACGGAGAGGGGCAGGTGATGGTTTAACTAGAATGCTGTGCAGGCAGCTGACATCCTCCTTATCAACCTATGATGTCATTGGCGGTGGCTAATGTCGTAATGGTGCACAATGAAAACCTGTGACTTTGTATAGCCAAAAGGCAGGCTTGTTCCACCCGCTGGCTTGTATACAAGTTTTGGGCAATTTTTAGACATTTTGCCTAGGCACCCCTGAAAAAACCTCAAGGCACCCCAGGGTGCCTGGGCACCCTGGTTGAGAAAGGCTGGGTTAAAGACAGGTTATTATAAGCAAGTGTGCTATAGTGCTGCACTGATTGGTTGATATGGTGAAAGGTAAGTGTTCCTAAAAAACATGTGTTTTTGTGTCACACTTGTAGGCAGGTGCTTAGCAAATAGTCCACTTTATCTTGTAATGATCTTTTCTTGCACTGTGTGTTTTGCGATTGTACTGTGCTGTGGTGCCTCCTAGTTAGGGAATGGTTAAGTGTGCTGCCAGCCTACTCCCTGGAGTTCATGATACCACCTGCTAGTAGCTTATAAATACTGGGGAGGCAGGCCTCGTGGTCAACTGGTCTATGTATGGGTAGAGTGAAGAGGACCTGTGTTATTATGTGATCACACTCTGTTCTTATGTTGCCCTTTGGCAGGAGCCCAATCAGGGTTCCAGAAACTGTATTTTGTTCCTGAAGGGAACTGCAGACGGCACAGCACTGGATTGATAAAGGACTTAGCTAAGCGTTTGGGGGGAGGGATATTTACAGGACCTATTTCTTGTGTGTTGAGGCATATTGATGGTCCATTCAAAGTGAAAAAAGTGTATGCCGAAGCGTACTCATGGCATGAGCCTTCAAGAAAGCTACAGGTTGGTATTTTTTGCAGGAAAGGGAAGTATTTCAGTTTGATTGCATGTGAGTGACACCTTCATAATGACTTTATCTGGAAAATGTTATCTTTCCATTTTCACACGTATATTAAAAAAAGATGCTCTCCCCTGATATTCTGTACTGCAAACCCTGGACTTGTCCATTCAGACACTGCTTATGAGTCGGGGTTTATTGCCACTTAGGGGATAAGATCTCTTTATTTGTTCTTAATTGTTACTATTTGAGGGTTTTTTGTTGTTTTTTCTGATTGCTTTTATGTGGAGTCCAGTGTATTGGATAGGGGTTGGGAAGCCCTCAGATCCCTGCTTGCCCATCACTAGGAAGGTGAGAGGGGCCGAGATGATGACTTTTCCCCTTAGCTATGATACATGACTATGGGATCTAACGTATCTTTTCATGCCACATGCTTGCTAGACAAAGAAGATCTGGTTATGTTCATGAAAGGACAGTTAGTATTAGTGTTAGACGTATAATCTAAAACTTGCCGATAAAAATCACTGGAAAAATTGGCAGGCGATTCAGATCACTAGTAGTCACCAAAATACAGATGACTTTATCTTCACATTTTAGTTATAGGCTTATTTTAAACAAGTACATTTAGGAAGTGATAGAAGGACCCCACTGAGCCTGAGTCTTGGAAAGAAAATTATTTACTGAGATTCTGCAATGTCAACAACAAAGTCAATATGAAAGCAAAGCTTTGAGATCAGATATCTGCATAACAAGTCATTTTCTGCAGCATGGCCACCTGTGTGATCAGCAGATCAGATAGCCTCATATACAAGGTATCTAATTCAAGCCTTGTCCATATTATAAGCTGAGATCATTCCTTATCTGGTTACTGCACTCTCCAACCGCATATTCTGTCTGTATTCTATTACAGAAAACTTTCTGTCCGTCTCTAACATTAGTCATGATTACTTTTGCACTGATCAAGCGCAAGCCTCCCAATGTACGGGAAAGTGTGGTGCAGTGATACATTTACATAAGTAGAGTGTTCCAACTGTACACTAGAGACTTGTAACCCGCAACTCTACACTGCAGGTTACAAATGATCTTTTAAAGCAATGGTCTGCACACTGTGGCCCTTTACTTGCTTTTATCTGGCCCTTGGAGTACTACTTTATTCACTGACAGCAATGAAGGGGCACAATTCCTCCCAATGACACCAACAATGGGACACAATTCCTCCTAATGACACCAAAGATGGGGGACAGTTCCTCCCAATGACACAAAAATTAAGGCCCAATAACACCAGTGACGGGGAACAATTTTTTCTAGTGACACCAGTGATGGGGCACAATTCCTCGCATTGACACCAGTGATAGGGCAAGATTCCTCCCAATGACACCAACAATAGTGCTCAATGACACCAATGTTGGGGAACAATTCCTACCAATTTTGGGACACACTTCCTACCAATAATGGGGAACAATTCCTACCAATGACACCAAGGAAGGGGCATTGTTTACTCCAACTGATGCCGGGACATTTTCTACTCCAAATGGCCACAGTCTGGCCCCCCTGAAGTCTGAAGGACAGAAATCTGGCCCTTTGTTTATAGAGTTTGGAGACCACTGTTTTAACCACCTCCCACCCGCCATATAGTAATATGGCAGACGCAAAGGGGTTCTCTCATTCTGGTAGGATTTCATATGATGTCCTCCCATTCTAACCTCGCATGCGCGGCTCCCAGAGTGCGCGCAGCGCGGCGATCGGCGGTGCGCTGTGTCCCTGGACAGCGGATCACCAATCCATGGAAAGAGCCGAAGATGTCGGCTCGGTCATGTGATCAGCTGTGTCCAATCACAGCTGATCACATGTAAACAGGGACATGCCGGTTATCGGCATTTCTCTCCTCTCGAGCTGTCATGCTGTCATGCTGACAGCTCGAGAGGAGAGGAGAGCCGGTAATCATCATTCCGCGGAGGGGACACGTACACTGATCATCAGAGCACTGATGATCAGCGTGCCCTGATCATCAGTGTAGCCCCAGCAGTGCCACCTGTCAGTGTCCATCAGTGCCTTGTGTCAGTGTTCATCAGTGCCATGTGCCAGTGCCTACCAGTGCACATCAATGCCACATATCAGTGCCCATCTGAGCTGCCTTTCAGTGTCACCCATCAGTGCCAGTCAATTCCACCTATCAATGCCAATCAGTGCCACCTATCAGTGCTGCCAATCAGTAACACCTATCAGTGCCAGTCAGTGCCGCCTATCAGTGCCAGTCAGTACCACCTATCAGTGCGCATCAGTGCTGCCTATCACTGCCCATCAGTGCCGCCTATCAGTGCCAGTCAGTGCCGCCTAACAGTGCCAGTCAGTGCCACCTAACAGTGCCAGTCAGTGCTGCCTATCAGGGCCAGTCAGTGCCACCTATCAGTGCCATATATTAGTGCTACCTTTCAGTGCCCATCAGTGATGTCTGTCAATGCCCATCAGTGCCACCTACCAGTGCCTCCTCATCACTGCCCATCAGTGCCACCTATCAGTGTCCATCAGTGCAGCCTATCAGTGTCCATCACTGCAGCCTCATTAGCGCACATCAGTGAAAGAGAAAAATCACTTATTTACAAAATTTTATAACAAAAACTAAGAAAAAACTTTTTTTTTTTTCAAAATTTTCTGTGGTTTTTGGTTTGTTTAAGAAAAAAAAAAAAAACCCAGAGGTGATTAAATACCACCAAAATAAAGCTCTATCTGTCACAAATTAATGATAAAAATTTCATATGGGTACAGTGTTTCATAACCGCGCAATTGTCATTCAATGTGCAACAGCACATGGAAAGCTGGAAAATGGCCTGGGCAGGAAGGGGGTATAAGTGCCCTGTAGGCTTGTGGTTAATGCATCAACACATGTAGTGGAAGTTGCTAACATGAAAGTTGACCTAGCATAAGATGTATTTTTCATGTTAAGGAGGAATTGCAATATTCTTCCCCTTACTGTCACCCAAGGAAAATAGGAAAACAAGCAATGCCTTTTTTAAGGTGGTAGTAATGTTTGTTTTTTAACTTGTACCTAGAGCTACGCCTATAATAAGGCTGACCTGTAGGTACTGTAAATATCTCTGAGATGTGTGTCATTTAGGAGATATTTACCCGTGTAGTGCCATTCCTTCAGATCTGTGTGCCGTAAAAAGTGACTCCTGCGCACATGCACGAGAGAGACGTCAGCACGGCTCAGCCATTCAAGCCACCAGAGCCTTTGAACCTGGAAGGACTGAGTGAAGATGGAAGCCCTGTCAGCGGTGAGAGCGAGCCACTGGAGGGCTTCATTTGTAAGTTTCACATAATGTGCTAGTATGTCTTTGTCTGTTTTACAGGAGAAAACATATTTTTTCACTAGAGTTTATTACCGCTATAAGGGAAATCACACTCTGCTGCTAATCCTCTCAAAGTATTTCTACCCCCTTGGAAATTCCTTCAGTCAACCAGTATTTCAGCACCGGAGCTGTGTCCCACATTGGGCGCAGTGGTGCCTCTGTCCTTTTCTAAGCTGGTGGGGCCATGGGTTACTGTGTATACTGTGTATGGGGTCTATTCTCCAAAGGCCCCATATGAAAACCCATCTCCCTGAAGGCTTGCAATGATGCTAATTCTGTGATTAAAACTGGCAGATGATAGTGTTTGTTTCTATGGGATTTAAGGGCGGTCAGTGTTGGTCAAACCTCAAAAAACAGGCAACAGGTATATGAATGTAACCTACCACAAACAGTTTCCTTCAACACCATTGAATGGTCTACATAACATGTGTCAAACACACACAAATTCCACAGGAAAATCCAGACCACCAGGCCATTTCATGCCCCCCCCCCCCCCCCCCCCCCGCAGTTCTGCTGGCTTCCCTGATTCTTTCAGTTGCTGTGGGTACACAGGGGGATGGAGAGAGAGGATGGGGCTGGTAAATAAGTAATTTACTGGCCCCTTCCTTTTCTGCATGGACACAGTGAGTGACCGGTACCCATTGCTCCTGTGTCCATTAATACCTTAAACCCTGTCAGGTACAATTCCCTCTTCCGCCAGCTGCTGTGGGTACACAGGGGGATGGAGAGAGGGGAAGGGGTCAGTAAATATGTCATTTACCGGCCCCTTCCTTTTCTGAATGGACACAGTGAGCGATTTGTACCCATGGCTCCTGTGTCCAATAATAACTGAAGCCCTGCAGGTAGACTGTACAGGGCCCTGTGATTTGTAAAAGCAGCCCTTGCTGGCACCATCACATAAGATATCACTCTGCTCAATAGTATGTCATAATTGGATTGCCTGGTCCGGGAAATCAGTGTGTTCCAGCACTCAGCAACCACTGCCACTGCACAGTGTCTTGGCTAAAGCAATACAGCCTGTTGTACACAGACTTTGTGGGAGAGTGTCCAAAATCACAGGACTGTCTTTTGGGACAATTGATAACTAATGGGTAAGGGTCCAGAGACACTTAGGAAAGGCCCTGCTTCTCCATGTCACCCTTTGTGCTGCACAGAGTAAGGAAGGGAGTCTCTATTACAAGAGTCCACCAATTTAAAGGTGCAACCAAGTGGGCAGAGCAAATTGGCAGACTCTAGTTTGACACAAGCACTCAGAAGGTATCAAACATGGTTAGTGGAGGAGTTAATTTACTAAAGGCAAATAGATTGTGTAATTTTCAAATGCAAGTAGCACTTTTAAAGTGCAATTGTTCCAGAGCTTAGTAAATGAGAGGAAGCTCTGCTGACGTCCATTATCCAAACATGAGCAAGTAAAAACACAGTTTTTTTTTCCTTGCATGTGATTGATTATTCTTGGCAAAATGAAGTTTCATCTCATTTAACTAAGCTCGGAGCAACTGTACTTGCAGACTCTAACTGTACTTGCAAAGTGCACACACTGTTTGCCTTTCGTAAATGAACCCCAATGTGTATATCACCTGCCAGAAGTGAGGTCATCCTACGGGAGTAAGAAGGCCTTGCAAGAGCCAAACACACCACCTGCCATTTCTTATTGTTTACATAACCATTGCTGCTAAAATTATGTTACTAATTTACAGAACACTTTTCGTTCTAGAATGGCATGCTGGAATTCTGTTAGTAGAGTTGCTATAATGCTTCAGTTATGTATGTGAAGAAAAAAATCAACACCATATCTGTGAAGAGGTTCCATTGACCTGATAAAAAGAGTTGTCCTATCCTAGGCCTCCTGACTACTTTCCAATGTCCACTATTATTACGCATGCATGTCTGTAGGTGGGAAAGAGCATGCATTTGTGTGTATGTGTGTCAGTTAGGTGAAACATCCTTCATCATTCTGATTGTGACTTAATATCTTTCTGCCAGCCTATGAAGGAAAAGCAATGGATTTCATCTTTGGAACAACTGGAAACATGTCTAGGTATGAAGTTTTACTTTGGTTACAACATTTGGGCTCTGTTTCTCTTTCCAGTAAAAGGAAGAGAAATGCCAAGAAAGGGAGTTTTCCTCCATGAGCATCCGGCCTTGCTCATGTTGGAAATCTAACCAACAAGACGTCTGAAAGGAAAATACTCGAACCTGTGTAAGATCCAACATAACACACAGTGACATGAGACAAAATGGAGGAGTACAAAGAAATATGACCTTCCCGGGTTTTTTACAAAACAAACACTGTGGATAATTTACACATCCCGCATTTCGAGGCAGAGCCAACTTGTTGAAGTTTGTGGTAGTCTCCAGACAACCTATTTGGTTTTAACATGACTGATTAACAAAACACAGCATAGGATATTAGAAGGAAAACTACAATGGTTGGCATAAGTGCAATCCAGTTATATTAGTTCTTGTTTTATTAAAGATAATGAAAGTGTTGACAGCTATAATGCCATTGCACCTTGTATACTGTGTTTTGTCTGGTTTTTATGCAAACCTTCTACTGCTGTTGAGGTCAACAGAAAAAAAATGAATTACGTACAAAAACGGCACTTTGTGGAGGGTATAGATTTCTAGAATGTATTCCTACTCAGGTATTACTGAAAATGGAATAGAGAGGCCTAGAGCCACAGGCTGCAAGCATCAACACAAGGCCTTCATGGCTGGGTTTACAATGGGGGCTATGCAGAAGAAGAGTTAATAGATTTTAATGTGGTGGGGGAGGAAGGACACTTACCCAATTAGGTTGTGTGAGTTGACCAGGAAGAGCTTCAGAGGCTTAAAGTGTTACTAAACCCAGGACCCCGCTTTCACTATATCTCGTGTCCCACAGTACACAGAACATGGAAATGCAATTATTTTAGTAAATATAAACTGCTAAATGCCTTTTCTCATCAGCAGTATATAGCAGTTTTGTGACTTTTATAAGTGTTCAGCAGAGCACTAGTTAAAGCTTGTAGTAGGAGTTTTCTTTCTGCTCTAGGAGGATGCAGACCCCTGACCCCTGTCTGGACAGTGCCAATTGGCCCTGTGCTGATCACATGATCTCTCCCAAGAAAAAAAAAAAATATCTCTAGCAATACACACTAAACTGAGCATGTGCAGAATGGCTACAGGTTCAATCTGTCTTATCAGGAGATAAGACATGGACATTTGAACAAGAGGAGTAGCAGATAAAACTGGATCAAATGGCTTTTTTACACAATGCAGTGGATTAACCCTTTAGGTTCCACAGTGAGTATAACAAGCATGCTTTACTGCATATACAGACTGATTTTACTGTTGTGGGTTTAGTAACACTTTAAGGTAGGAGGGTTAATTTTGCTTCTAGTTAGAGTTCAGCAAGCATTCAGCAAACTTCCTGCCTACCCACCCTATTTGTGTTGATTGCTAGGGTCCACAATTTTTTAAGTATGCTAATACTTGTTATAGCAGCTTGGTGGGGTCTTTAGAGATGGTCAATGTAAAAGTGGGAGAGACCTGTCTCAGATATGGCATTCCTTCTTCAGTGAAATCAAGTTCTTAAGGCAATGTGGGATAACATATCTTGCATGTTTTTCCTCCCAGTACATACATACATACATACAGTATAGATATGCATCATATGTGGATGACAGATGGTGTCAAAGGCTCCCATCCCTGTTTAGCTATAGCTGTCCCAGTTTGATGTAGATGGCCTTTTCCACTCCTCTTGTGAACAAATTGTCTTCTCTGTCCAAAATTTGCACCTAACTGTCCTTTAAGGAATGTCTTTGTACGGAGACTGAATGAATGCAGAGTTTGCCCTCTTAGCATTTAAGACATCATAGACATTTTAGACCCAACTTGCTTGATGTCAACTTTGCTTGACATATTCCTTTATGATTTTGTAATAAAATGACCTCTATGACCATTAAATTTCAAATAAGGTGAGGTATTTTTATTAGCTGGTATATTGTGGGTTAAGGGGGGGTTTGGGTAGGCAGTTTGGTGACAGTGTCATGTGAAAAACCATAGTTATGATCTGTGAGATGAATGTTCTGCTTATTTATGGTGTGAATGGACAAAAACAAAACCACATAGAAGGCTCTATAGCATACTAGAAAAAAGGGCAAATTTTAGGAAGAGGTCCTTACGTTTCTATTGGACTAATGATTTTATGTTGTATCTTTTCTTGGTAATAGCTATCCCCTACAAAAGCCAATAGTGAACTGAGCAATTAGTATGGGTAGACCAGAAAAGAAAATTATATTACATTTAGATACGTTTGGAGGTTAGTTTTCATTGGTCACTTTGGGTTGTTG